CACGGCAACAGGCTCCTGCAGAACCAACCAGAGGCTGAGATTCCCGGCTCTTATTTTTAGAAGTTGGGTCTGGACTGGTTGGCTCGGCCAGGGGCCAGGCTCCCACTGGCATGCCCCAGGGCACCCATACCAAAAGGAAGCCCCAAGGCTCAGGTGGGCACTGCCCCAGCTAAGCTTCTTCCACAACCTGTGGCTCCCTTCCCCAGGGTCATGCCCAAGGGAGGGTCTCCTACTCTCCGTGTTCACACTGACCAAAGCACCCTCTGCATCTGGGCCCCAGGGTAGAGACAGGGCCCACTGTCCCACTGCAGCCTGTGGATGGCTGTGGTTTAATTTACAGTGTGTCAGGAGAGGGAAGGGGCGGGGGCTCTGCCCAATTTGTTTGGTGGTGTGTGAGGCTGTGTGTAAGTATCTGCATGAGCGCAATCGAGTGTATATCAATGGGGCTGCTCCCCCCTGGACTCCGTGTGTGTGTGTGTGTGTGTGTGTGTGTGTGTGTGTGTGTGTGTGTGTTAATGTCCTCTTCCACAAGGAAAAAGAGAGGGAAAACACCACCTCTAACCTTCATTTATGCCTGGGTCTCTTTAGAATGAGGGGAAGAAGCGAGGTGTGGTGGGGCACACCTATAATCCTGGCGCCTCCGGAGGCTGAGGCAGGAGGATCACAAGTTCAAAGCCAGCCTCAGCAACTTAATGAGATGCTAAGCAACTCAGTGAGACCCTGTTTCTAAATTTAAAAAAAAGGGGGGCTGGGGGTGTGGCTTAGTGGTTAAGTGCCCCTGATTCAATCCCAGTACCCCGACTCCCCCCCAAAAAGGAGGGGTGGGGCAGGGGTGGAGCAGTGATTTCGGGCTGGAAGGGTGGTGGCCTCCACACACCCGCCTGTCCATAACTTTCCTGTATCTGAGCACACAGCTCCTGAGGTGGTGGAAAAGCCAGAAAGAGCCCAAACAGACCCAGGTGGACCTAGCCTGAGTGAGGGGGGATCCTGGAAGAGGGAGCAAGCTGACTTTTGGTGACTCCTCCAGCTGCTGGGGATTTCTCTGTTAATCTGGGACTGCTCTGTTTGCATCTCATTTGCTTAAATTTGCATGACAAGGGCCTGGCTGGCACCAGAGTTCTAAATTCCTGGCCTGGGTAATTGTGTGAAAAAGTCTCTAGAGACCAAGCAGGAATCCTGGGGTCTGGGAAGCGGAGGCCAGAAGCTGCTGGGTTGACACTGAAGGTTCCCATCCAGTTCTAGGATACCCCACTCCTTCCCTAAGCCCTGGTGCAGGAGAGTGGGATGGCTACAAGGATGGAGTGGGAGAGGCGACAAGATTAAGAATTAAGGGCTGGGGTTGTGGCTCACGCAGTAGAGCGCTCGCCCAGCACATGTGAGGCCCTGGGTTCCATCCTCAGCACCACATAAAAAAATAAAATAAAGGTATTGTGTCCAACTACAACTAAAGAATAAAACAGTTTAAAAAATTAAAAATTAAGTCTTCCGGGAGAGCACCCCAACTCCTGAGAGCAAGGAGCTGGGCTCAGAATATTCCCATGGGTAGGAATGGTCTGAACTTAGTGAGGGCTAAGGTGGGAGGAGGACAGGCAACACACAGCAGCCTCTGCCCCTGCCCACCTCCGCAAGAGGGATCCTCCGGCCAGAGAGACTGGCCATGTCATATCCGGGGCCTGCACTTACTAGCTCCAGGACTCTGAGACCTGGGCAACAGGGGTCTCTTCCCTGGGGACCCCCACTTTAGATGATGCCAGTTTGGCCCTCATCTGCATGGCGTGAGGAATTCAAAAGTAAAAAGATCCATATGCCCATAGAGTTATGTCCACCTTCTAGTCTGTACCTCAACCCAGGACCCCAGGATTCCCTGTTCAAGTAGCCCTAAGCCAGCCACCAGGGTCTTTGGATCTTCTAAGGCTGGTCATTTGCCAGGAGTGTGGACCAAGCAGGGACTGGAATGCAGGGTGTCCAAGGCACACATAGGAAGCCCCTGAAGCTGCAGGACTGAGCCCAGGGTGGGCCAAGAGGGGAGATGGGTAGAGGGCTAGGACCCTCTTTTGGTATTCTTGCCCTGGGTTCTTCAAACATTTGAGGTGGCTCTAAAAAGCTGTTTGACCTTGGCCAAGTTAGTTAACCTCCCTGTGCTCCTAAGTAGGGTTAATAATAGTTGCTGCCACCTCTGTTGCTGTGAGGGTGTACTGAGCTAATTCATGCAAAGCACTTAGGACTGTGCCTGGCACAGAGCAAGAGCACGAACGTGTTAGCTATTATTATCTATCATCCTGGGATTTGGCTTTTTTCCCTCCAGTTGCAGAAGAAGCACCTTCTCTTTCATTTTGAGAAACTTAGGATGAAGTGGAGTCTGGGGATCTCCCTTCTACTCCTCACTCCACTCTCAGAGCCCAAACCTCCTTTTTCCTCTCCCGCAACTGCACCTCAGGCCGGGATCCAGGAGGGCAGCCAGGCCATTAGACAGAGTGTAATGATTTATTTAATGTCCTTATTGGTTGAGTGAATCAATGAACAAATGAATGAATGAAAAACAAAGTTAAAATGAATAAAAGTCAAACTGAAGGCTCCGTGCCTGGACTGAGCAGGGCAGCCCACCAGGCAGATGTTTTGTTTGTGGGAGCTTCAAATCTGTTTCCCAGACCATCACTGTCTCAATTTTCATGAGCTGAGGGGTGACAGGGGAAGCAAGAGACTGGCTGGGCTTTTTGCAAGTCAGCCCTGGCTTTGGGAAGTGGCTCATCTCTGCTAGAATTAGAGGGTCCACTTGTGTCCTAGGTCCTTTTGTGTCCTGTAGGTGTCTGAGTGTAGGGATGTCTCTGTGTCCAGGTTAGAAGCCCTGGGGCAGGCCCCATCCAGGTCTGCGGCAGGATGGAGGGAGACGTTGGTGAGCCTCATTACCTCCATATTTACACCCCGCCCCGCTGGTACAGCCGGCCTCAATGCGCCTGCCTGTCAGCCGGCGGGTTAGTGCTGATGGAGAGCTCTCTTGGGGCCAACCGGGCTCCACCATCTGGCCTGGCTGGTGTTGGAGGCGGGAGACCTGTCAAAGGATGCCCCTTGGGCTCTCGGGCCTGGCGCTAGGCAAACCTCAGAGTGGAGGGTGTGTGGGCACATTTGTCTGGCCTGTGCTCGCCCAGGTGTGGCTGGGAGGAGCATTCACGACTGTCTGTGTGTACGTGTCTGAGTGAAGGTCTCCTCTTGGTCTGGAGTTTCTGTACGTGACAGTGCGTCCCACCAACGGTGGATCTTGGCCTTGGGCATTTTCCGTGGGAAGCTCTGAGTAGAGGCAGGGGGGCTCTGTGAATTCCCGGCTCAGCTCTCAGTCGGGACAAGTTAACCTCGGGCCCATTTCTTTAGAGGGGTTGGTGGTTCCTGGGAAGGAAACCAAGCCAGCCGAGGAGACCTAAAGCATCCCTGTCTGGCCTTGAGTCCCATTCCCTGGAGGTGGACTTTGGCTTCGAGCATCATCAGAAATCCTAGGTTCACCAGGAAAGCACCCCCTCACCTGCCCCAGCCCAGAGACAGGACACAAGCAAAGCCACTCTGAAGTCCAGTCACATGATTACCCAGACCTGGACACATGAACAAAGACACTCACATGTGTAGTCACAGATCCACCAGACACAAGCATGTGTACACACTCATGGATACAGCATGGCATGCACACACTCATATGGCCACATGTGTGTGCTTACACATAGGATCACACTCATAAAATGATTTTTTGGGAGGGGGTACTAGGGAATGAATTCAGGGACACTCAACCACTAAGCCACCTCCCCAGTCCTGTTTTGTATCTTATTTGGAGACAGGGTCTCACTGAGTTGCCCAGGCTGGCCTTGAACTTTCAATCCTCCTGCCTCAGTCTTCTGAGTCACTGGGATTACAGGCATGTGCCATTGCACCCAGCTCATACTCATAAACTGACAAAGTAAATTCTTGCAAAGATGCACACACTTAGAATCCCATGCATGCAGACGTGCTTGCATATGTATTCACATGCACTGTCACTTCTGTCTCTTCCCACCCTCACCCCAGTTCTCTCAGTCCAGTGCCTCACTGCAGCCCTTTGCATGCTCTTTGCAAGGAGGGCATCAAAGGAGGGCAAATGTCATATGCATGTGACCCAATGAGCATGAAACTGTGTGTGCCTATGTCTGTGTCCGTGTGTGTACTCATCAGATAAAATGTCTGATAGTCTGTATAGTTCTAGCTCTTTGAAAAACAAGGGGATGACTCTTTATGACGAGGAGCATGTTTTTCTGTGCATGTCTGTGTGTATACCTGGAAGGACTTATGTGTGGCCGTGTGTACCCACATGTGTGAATGGGATTTTTTATTTCTGTGTAACTGCACCTTGCAGGCCATCTCTTTCGTGCCTGTGTATGCCTGTCTATGTGCACATTTGCATATCTGTGAGTGTCCCACGCGTACCTGGCTCTGTGGTCCAGGCTCCATAGGCTGACTCGGCTGGCTTCACTGCCAGTAGAGGCTATGGCCAGGGTGGGGTCAGGTGAGACTGGACTAAATCCCCCAGCCAATGACAGTTGTATTTACCGAGCTCTGAGTAGGACATAATTGCTTCTATTAATCTTTCTCCGGTTGTTAATTGCTCACTTATCGGGTTGTGTATTATGCCGACTGTTGCTCTTAATTCGCCTCCATAGCTGCAGGTGTTTGCTGCCTTATTAACTGTTAATCGGCGCGGCTAGGGATAGAGATTTAATTGGCCCCCAGAGTGGGACACAGGCGGGCCAACCGGGCACTGCCAGGCTCTCAGCCTGTCCCTGGAACTCTCACCTGTGGAGCACAGGTGGCACCAGGGAAGGGGCTGGCCCACTGCCAGCAGTCAGCAGTCCTAAACACAATAAGAGTCAGGGCGCCAACTGCAAGGCATAGCCCCTATGCGATCCTAACTCTTCCCAGAAGCCAACCGGCCAATCAGAACCTAGCTCCTGTACTCCCTCTCCATCACCAACCTTCTACCAGGACAGGAGCCAAGCTCATTTATTTTAATTATCTGAACCTAATTGAGAACTAACGTCAACACAGAGTGGAACTGTTTTTTGCCCTTTAACACCTCTTCTGCTTTTTCCATGTGACCCTAGCGATCAAGGTATTAAAAGTTACGGAGACACTGGGAGAAAAGAGAGCAAGAAGCATCCAGCAGAGCAAGAGGAGTTGAAGTTAGATCCAAGAAGCACTTCCCAGCCTTTGAGGAGGTATCTGGAGCAGCTGGAGTCTACACAAGAGTAAGAGCTTCCAGGAGGAAGTTCTGCTGTCCCATCCCGGCCACACTTCTGCTTGCACAGCCCCAAGAATAGGGAACTCCCTTCTTCCACTGCCCTGCCGCACAGCTGCTCCTCAGCAAGTGAATTCTGCACACTGAGTTGACTTCTCCCCTCCAGACTGTTGTAGCAAAGGAGTCCCAATTGTCATCATGGGGAAACTGAGACCCAGAAAGGGTAAAGGAGTGGCTCCAGGGTTCCCCAGTCCTCTCTGGTAGAGGCTCAAGCCTTCTCCAATGTTTCTGCCCTCCACCTTCCCTGTGGCCCTGCTCCATCCCAGACATCTCAGTCCCAGAGGGTACCTTCTCAGCCGCCATCTCTTCTGCTCAGTCTTCAAGCCTCCCACCTCAGCGGTCACCGCTGCAGCAGCTTCTGGCTCCAGTGTCTTTGGGTTAAGAATGAAAGATTTTTGGAAACACTGGTGTCCCTGTAAGGATGTAAGTGGTGAGGGGACAGGGTCCATGTTGCACCAACCTGGCCTCTAGCCTCCAAGAAGGAAAAACAGGCAAACCAATAATCCTCATCCTGTGCCTGGAATCCAGTCTGTCCTCTCATCTGGAAGTTCTTCCTGGTGTTTAGTTGTCATATCTCGAGCTGCAAAGGAAGTTGATTTGCTTTAGCTGGGTTCTGAAAGGCTATGGACTCAACAAGGGAGGGAGGAAGATACCATGAGTGCCTACTGTGTGCCAGAAGCAGGAATAAATGTGTGTAAAAGAGGCATCCTATTTCACCTCATATAAACTAGTGAGTTAGGGATTAGTAATCCTCTTTACAGAGAAGGAAATTGATCCATAGAGAGGGAAAAACCATACAGGCAGGATAGGGCTGAACTTGAGTTCCAACAAGTCTTGGCTTTGCTTAGGGAGCTGTCTTCCCTCAGGGATACTTGACTGGGTGGCAGTGGTCACTATCAACTCAAGCCACCCACCCCAAACCTGGGATCCGTGATTCGCAAAACACGCATGCACCTCCCACGAACTCATCAGATAAAATGGGAAAGAAGCAAAGGGAACCGTCTGTCCGGGGATAGTTACCCAAACAAGCTCAGGCCCCGCCTCTATGTTAATGACATGCAGATATGCAAATTTGCACAAGCAACTGCTCAAACCTTAAGTAGCAATGGGGTGACACAGGAGCAGTTGCTATGGAAATCCAAAAATGATGCCCCCCCACCTCCTGCACCAGCAGGTTCATAGACACGTGCACAAAGATCCAGGGTTCCTCGCTCTGGCGCCCAGAGGATCACCGAGTGGCAGAGGGTGTGAACCGGAAGGACCCTCAGAGACTGTGTCCAGCCGGGGGACGCTGAGACCCGGGGAAAGTCGCAGGAAGGGCACCATCTCGATCCTTGTGGGCCTGGGGCACCTTCCACCCAAACCCTTAGGGTAAAGGACGACTCCTACTCCGGCCTAGCAACGCGAGCTCCGCCCAGCGTTGCATAGCAACGTCCCTCGAGCCTAGCAACCCCGGCCACGCCCCCTAGCAACGTCAGGCCTAAGCCGCGCTCCCGGCCCCTACCAAAAGAGAGACGGGAAAGGGACAGTGGACTAGGGCTGAAAGGTGGGTGGGGGTCACGTCACCCAGTCGCCGCCTCCAGACAGGCGACGGGATCCTCACATAGACCCCCTCCCCGCCGGCGAGGCGTAAGAGGGCCGCGTTAGTACCCCCCTTTACAGAGAGGCAAACCAAAGCTCAGAAGCGAAGGCCCTGTCTGGAGGCTAGTGCTTGTTCTTCCCGGAGCGCAGCAAGCGCTTAGTCTCCCGGGGGGCGGAGGGGAGCCCTGGCCTGGGGGAGGGGTGCACAGCCCGTCTCCTCCGCCCCACTGCGTTAGGAAAACCACCCAAGTTGCGGACTCCAAATCGAGCTGCAGGTTTGCATAGTAATTTGCATCATTTGCATATAGTGCGGAGGCTGTGGTGCTCCCTTGTCCCTCAGAGCCAGATAAGTTCTCCAAGGAGCCCTGCTACCTTCCCTGGTTCACCTGTCGATCCCCCTCTCCCTGCCCCCCACCTACAGCCCCCCGCGCCCCCGCTTCCAACCCCTTCCACTAAGTTCACTCACCCCGCCCCCAGCTCAGCCTCTGTCCTGCCAGCCCCGACCTCCATCCCAAGGCCAAGGGCCCCCTCTGCTGTCGGCCGCGGGTAGGGCAGCTGCAGAGCTCAAGGGGCAGGGAAGAGGGAAACCACCGTGGCCCCTTCCTTCAGGGTCTAGAGCGAGGTGGAAACGTGGGTAGAGGATACATACCTTTAGTCTCTGGAGCGAAGGGGGGGGGGTTCTGCAGAATTCTCTCCCCTTGGCCAGCCCCCCCACAGTGGGCTGGCTAGCCAGGGCAGCTGGTTCTGAGGTCAGTCTTCAGACTCAATTCTCTCAAGTTACACACACGGAGACACTTTATCATTAGAGCTGCTGTGACGAGCTCATTGCAGGGCCAAGGCAAGGTAGCACCGCCCAATGCTAGGCAATCAGACATATGGACGTGCATAAGGACACACATGCATGCACAGGGACACTCAAAGATACATACACACAGGAATATGGTGGCACTTTGTGGTACCCCTCATCTATCCAAAGGAAGAAATCTTGGTCACTCAGAAGCTTTATTAAAAAAACATTGAAATTTGCTCTCCTTTTGCTCCTTAGCAATTTCCATGTCTGTGCACCTTCAAAAGCCACTGCCCACTTCTCTCCCCCCACCCCAGTCCTGCCTTTTCCCACTGCCTGTTCTTCCCCCTAATCAGAATACTTGCAGAATGCTTCTAGAAACTACCCAGGGCAACAGCTTTTCCCTGGGGCAAAGTGATGGTTCCAAATTCCAGACCAGCAGTCAGCAAAGCTGAAAATCTATACACAAAAATCCAGACACACCAAACCACATCTGGTTGGAACTAGGGTCTCTCCTGACCAGTCAGCAGATGCAAAACTAACTTTTCCAAATTCTTTATTGAACCAAAATCCAACACCAAACAGATTGCAGGACAGGAAACAAACAGGACAGGTGGGGAGAGCTGACCCTCTTCTTCCTCCACCCTGTCTCTGTCTGGAGTAAGGGAATCAAGATCCCTGTTGATTCATCAAGATCCATCTATAGGGCCCAAAGAGGGGTCAGGGCCTGGGCCAGGGGGTTCTGGAACTGCAGTAGGCTGGCAGAGGAAGCCAAGAATCCCTGGGGCTGTAGGGGGCTGGGCAGATGCTACAGAGGATGGAGGGTGGGGGTTCTGGCCTGGGGGCCACAATGAGGCTTGGAACTGGTGAGTCATAGTAACCAGGGACTCAAGGTGCTGGAGCAGGGCTTGGTGGGGACAGGAGGCCCTGTGGAGGTGCTGCCCATGGCCAAAGCCACGGACAGTTGGTATAACTGAAAAGGGATGTTGGGACTGGAACCATCCTGGTGCTGGGGCCCTCTGCCCTCGCCCAGGACCATGCCAGGTTTCAGGCTCTGCCAGCAGCCTCCCCCTGCCTCTGGGAAACCCCTGCCAAGCACAGGCTCCCCTTGGAGGTGGGCTACCCTTGCCCTGGCTCTGCTGCAGGGAACCCCCTGGGGGAGGGGAGCCTCTCAGGGGCACATCTTGCCTCCCATCCTCTTGCTGGTAGCACCGCATCTCCACTTTCCTGTTGAAGGAGACCATCTTGCGAACCTTCCTGCACACAGGGCTGGATTTAGCTGGGTCTGGAAGTCCTTTCTTGGGGAGCAGCACAGCCAGCAAGAGACTTGAGTGAGTAGCCTCCAGACCTGGGAAAAGAATAGGGAGCTATGGAAGGCCTGGTAGGGGACATCACGGAGCCCCCAAAGCTTCACTGTGGCTACAGCAGGTCTGGTGATGAGGTACCAAGAAGAGCCCCCCAAAGTAAATGGGAGGGTGAGCCTGTCTGGGAGGAGCTGGTCTTGGCCTGACTAAGGTCCACCTGAGGATGGGGCGTGGATGTCTGACCTCAAGGCTCTGCGAATTCAAAGTCTACCTCATTGTCCCAGGACATGAAGCCCAGAAAGTTCAAACACTTTACTAGGGAACTGGTACAGTGGGACCCTTGAGTCCCCAGCCCTCCTCCCCAGGGGCTTTCCTGGAGGCACACTGTGGATTGATCCCTGCATGGAACCCAAACTTGACCAGCGCAGCTGCAGCAGAAGGACCCCTCCCTTCCTCCTGTCCTCAGTGACGTTTTCAGACTGCTATCTGTGGGTCCTGCCTCTGTCCTGCTGCACCTGAGTCAAATGTGGCTGTTCCAGAAGCTTCTACTCAGGGGTACCTAATGGCACAGGCAGTGCAGGGTATACTTAGGAGCCCACTTCCTGGAACCAGGCTGCCTGGATGGGAAGCCCAGCTCTGCTGTTGACTTTGGTCAGGTCACTTTGCCTTCTCACTGCCTCGGTCTCCTAATCTGTCAAACAGTACGTCCTAAGAGGGCTGTTTTCCTTTCCCATCTGCCCGAGTCTGGAGTTCCCTTCTGAGATGTGCCTGCCTCTCCTGAGACAGAGGTCCCCGTACCAACAAGTCAGTCCCCTGTGAGGGAGGCAAGGTGCTGTGTGAGCAGTGAGCTCTCACCTGGGCCCCCCAGAGGGCGCAGTCTGGTGGGCAGGGGCTGGAAGGCGGGCAGCGGGAGCAGGACCACCTCCACGTGTGCCACAGCCGCCAGGCCATGGCGCTGCTTGTTGTTGAGGTAGGAGTACAGCAGGCGGCAATTCTGGGTATCCCGAGCCCCGAGGGGACACAGTCTGACCACACAGATGTCCTGCAGTCACAGAAGGAGAGCAGCTGAGGAGCAGTTGTCCCCTGGTCCTGCAGATGCCCCTGGTCTCATCCAGGTCTCTGGGAACCCAGGGAAGGAGACAGAGGGACTTGCTGAGGGTCACTCCATGAGGCTCAGTCACACAGGAACTAGACCCAATTTCTCAGGGCAGGCTCCCGCAGCAGAGCAGGAGGGGAGGGAACTCAGGAAGAGGTGAACCAGCAGGAGAAGCGGGGGTACCGAGAAGGGCAGTCACCTTGGCCTCTGCTGGGCAGACGCTGGCCAGAAGGTCCCAGACAACGTTGGGCAGGATGCAGCTTGCTGAGCGGATCACCTCAGGCAGAGCCTGGGGACAGGGAGGAGGCCAATCAGCCCCCCAACTGCCCACCCCCATAGGCAGACTCGTTCCCAGCCACCCAAAGGGCCTGGGGTGAAGAAGATGGACAGGTAGTGGACAGGGACCCTCGGGGGCTGCCAGAGGACTTACCTGCCCTGGAGGCCTCCAGCCTGTCCCAGCCAATCTCTTACAACCCTCCCCACCCTCACCAACACGCGCCTGGTCACTGGGTCACTGGACAATCCCTCCTAAAACTCTCCTTTGCTCTAAGCCTGGGGTCACAGGGAGTGCTTTACCCTGTGTGTCCCTGTAGGGAAGGGGCTGGGGTCTCATTTGCCCCCAGCCAGGCACAGGCAGGATGCCGTGTTGTTTTAGCAAGGGTGACAGAGTACCTGGGCCAGCCGACAGCTGTGTCCTGAGACCAGCTGGGCCTTCACTCGGAACCGCTTGATGGAGAACATGTCAAGAGCACCCTCCCAGGGCGGGGGGCTGGGCAAGGCCTTTGTGGGCCCAGGAGGTATCTGTGGCCTAGAGGGAGGGACAAACAGACTGGGCCAGGCAGAGCAGGTTATCGGAACTGAACCCCAGCAACTCCTTCCTTTTCAGAGCAGGTGCGGGGTCACCAAGGCAGACTGGAACATTGGTCCCAGTGTGGCCTCGTGCAGGGGGAATCTAGTAGGCTGGAATGATTAGTTCCATTGTACACGTGGAAAAACTGAGGTTCATGGAGCGGGAAGACTTGCCCAAGACCATACAGGAAGACAAGTCCATGCTGGGTGTGCCTCTCCCTCCCAGCTCCCACACACCTGTCTTGGGGCTCTGTAACAGGGGTGTCCCTGGTTTGGGACATCTCTGGAGAGGACACAGGAGCTGGGCTTGGAGCTCTCTGGGAGGCCTGGTCTTCCCTGTTTCTGGTGGCTCTGGAGAAGCCTGGCAGCCCACTCAAGGCCTCACAGTCTGCAAACAGCAGAGGCAGGAGCTCAAACCACAGGCGGAAGAGGAGGCCACGCGGGCTTGAGAGCCGCGGCTGCCCCAGGTTCATTTCACAGTGACCTGGGCACAGGCACCCCCACTCTGCCCCTTCTCGCCAGGTCGCCATCCTGCTGCTGATCCCCACACCAGCCCTACCCCACCCAGTGCCCCACCCACCCCCACCTGTGCAGATGCGGCAGTTGGGGTCCAGGAAGTGGTGATGGTGCTGCTCCGTGGTGTCCTCCAGGGGGGCGGGCAGGGCCAGGGGGCTGCATTCTCTAGACACCACGGGTCCCTGGAAGGCACATGAGCAGAGGGGGCAAATGGGAAGTCAGCGGCCCTCCATGGGCAGGGAGCCTCAGAGAGATGGTTTATTTTACTTTTCTAATTTTTTTTTAATTACTGTGAACTCAAAGAAAAATTTGAAAATACAAAAAAATGTTGAAAAAAGAAACATCCTTCCCCATCCTACCACACATACAACTCGTGATATTCCAGGCAGTCATTCCTTTATCATAGTTTTTCCACACATAGGGGTTGGGGCCCTTTGTTAAAACAGCTGAGATGGAGCATTCAACCTGACATCCTCGTTTTATAGCAGAGGCATTCGATGTAGTGGAGCTGAAGTGTCCCCGTCACCTCTGTTGCCTACTCTCTGGGTCATTTGCTGGCTTGCACTATTCTGAATAGCACTGAGGAAATCTTTGTGCAGAAGTTATTTTCCTAAATTTTATATTCTTAGATCCAGTCTCAGAAACAGAGGGCAGAATCAGAGAGAATGAGCCACCTTCATTGGACTTTTAAATTTTTTTACATTTTAATTTTTTTTTTTTTATATTTTGGTACTAGGAGTTGAACCCAGAGTGCTTTTCTACTGAGCTACACCCTCAGCCCTTTTTATTTTTTGTTTTGAAATAGAGCCTTGCTAACCTGCTAAAGCTGGCCTCAAACTTGGGATCCTCCTGCCCAGCCTCCTGAGTCACTGCAATTACAGGTGTGCTCCGCCGCACCTGGCGTTCCATGGACTCCCGATGTCCCCTGCCGAATTATTGTTCCCTTTAAAATACACACCTAAAAAGAACATGTTGCTTTAGGAGGGTTTAAGAAAATTCTGAACTGCCAGGCACAGTGGCACATGCCTGTAATCCTAGCAACTTGGGAGGCTGAGGCAGGAGGATCCCAAGTTCAAAGTCAGCCTCAGCAACTTAGTGAGGTCCTAAGCAACTTGTCCAGACCCTGTCTACATAAAATATAAGAAAGGGCTGGGATGTGGCTCAGTGGGTTCAATCCCCAGCACAAAAAAAAAAAAAAAATGATTCTGAAACTCTGTCCTTGTCTTATAGCCACCTCGGGAGCAGTGCCGAAGTTCGGGTTTTGAGCGAGGCAGCCCAGGTTCAAACCTCGGCTCCACCACTACCGTGTGGCCTCAGGCCAACAATGGCTCCAGGTTCTCCATCCCAGAATAGCACAGACCGTGTATGTCACTGCGAGGTCCAAGGCTGAATGAGGTGCTGTTTGTAAAGGGGCGCGGCTCAGTGTACCGTGTGCGGTGTCCCTGCCCTACTCCGCCACCTGCGCTCTCTCTGCCTCTGTCTGGGGACTGAGGACTCCTGCTGGGTCTTCCCACCTTCTCCTCTGCAGACACATGGCTCCCTCAGTCCCCTACTCTGAGGGCTGGGCTCAGCCACCGTCTCCCAGGGCTCCCCTCCACCCGGGCTGTGGCTCTCCTTGGCCTGAGCATTGGGGGTGACAGGTGGGGTGCTGGGGGTTCAGCTTGTCAGGCTCACTGCCATTTCCCCCAGAGCTGGCACCCAGTAGGTGCTCAGTACCTATGTGCTGAGTGAATGGTCATGGTCAAGAGGCCTGAAGCCCCGAAGCTCTCTCTCCTGGATACACAGCTGATTAGAGCCAGGGGACAAGTGACCCCACGGGAACAGCAAACCAAGCCAGCGGGCTTCTTCTGAGAGTGACTGATGTGCGCCAAGGGGAAGTTCTGTTCGGCTCCAGGAGGCTGAGGTGCCCAGGTAATAGGTTCTGGAGCTGCTGAGCCCCTGGGGCCGGGGACGGAGGAGGCCGGGGCAGGAAGGAAAGCCAGTCCCCAGCGACGGGAGGCGCTGAGGCTCTGAAGTCTCCTACTGGTTTTCCAGATGCCAGGGCAAGTTCCAGGAGGCCCTCTGACCTGACCACCCTGAGCAATGGGTGGCTTCCTGCCTGGGGCATCTCCAAAGGCACCGAGTAGAGCATGTCCCTGTCCCTGACATCCGGAAAACACTGCCGGAGCACTGTGGCCCCCCTGCCTCCCTGCCACAGACCTGGGGAGGAGGGCTAAGGCTGAGGCGGACTGTGGCCAGGCCTTGGTGCCACCCGCCTGGGCACCTTGGAGTGAGGCCAAAAGAAAGCAGACCAGCACCAAGAAAGCATGGACACCGCAGCCTGTGGCCCTGCCTCCCGTGCCCACCTGGACCCTGCGCGGTCAGGACCACGGTCCCTGCTTTACAATGAACAAGGCAGGCCTCCGAGTAGGCAGGTGACTTGCTCTCGACCACACAGCCAGTGGCCCCAACTTACCACCAGGTCCTCCAGGGTCAGCGTCTGGTCCACGTCCCTCGGGATCTCCACCTCGCCCTTGTGGGTCAACTTGGAGGCTGGAAGCCCACGAGGCTCCTTCTGTTGCTGTTCAATGATCTCTAGGCCCTGAAGAGGATGAGCTCAGTCAGGGGCCTCTGGCCACCAAGGGCCCAGCCACACCTCCGCACCTCAAGGGCCCTCTCCTGTGGCTCCCCTTCCAAGCCAGGCCTCTCCCTGCCTCCACACTGGCTCCTTGGTTCCCCTCCCCTGGAAAGCCCACCACCTTCAGTCCCGCCTCTCCAGATTCCACTCATTCGTTCACCCTCCACGCTAATCCTGCCTCCTCCAGGAAGGCTTCCCAGACTTCACCTTCACCCACAGTCAGTTCTGCCTCTCACTGCCCTGGGGAGGCTGTGGTGGAGAGAAAGAGCACAGGTGCCAAGTCCCTGCTGGACTGTTAATAAACATTCATGAGGCAGTGTGGCCTTGGACCACCACCGAGCTGCCCTGCACCTTGGTTTACCTGTTCTCTGGGGATTCCATTAAGAGCACTGGATTAAACATCACGTGCACAGAGCCTGGCCTGGTGTGGTTGTCACTGTTGATCAATGTCATCCTACCTGCAAGGTTCCTTGAAAGCCCAGAAGGCAGGGGTCCTGTCCTCCCTTGGCAGGGTGTGGGACCATGCGGCCGCCCAGGGTCCCTGCTTGGCCTGAAGCTTTGCTGTTATCACCTTGAAACTCTTAACAGTTTTTGAGCAAAGGGCCCCACATCTTCATGTTGCACTGAACCCCACAAACTATGCAGCCAGTCCTGCCCTGGGACCCCACAATGCCTGGACAGCTCTGCCCACAGCGGGTGGGTCCACCTAGTGGACTCCGGTTCTGAGCTCTGACCAGCCCAGGGTCTTTCGGAAGAGCATCTCAGACCCCACCCCATACCCTCTCCCTGGGCCACCAACAAGCGTTTGCTGAAAATCCTCCAAAGCTGGCCAGTTCCATAATTTCCCCACCCCTGAATTCCTAGGCATGGCAAAGCCCATGGACACAGGGTACACAGGGATGGGACTGTGGGGACTGTGAGGTCCCTTCCCCAGACTGGGGTACCAGGAGGCCTCCAGCTTTTCCCAAGGCTTCTGAGGCTGGAATGGGAAGAGGGACTCTTGGGAACTTTTCCCCCTGGAGGGTGAATGACCACCCTGGACTCCAGACTGCAGACTACCACTTGGTCCTCCCTGTCCCACTGTCACAGGAGCCAGCTGCACAGAAATCCAAGTGTGTCACCTCTCAACAGAGCCCTCTGTCCCCAGTGCCTTTCACCTCTGCCTCTTCCTGCTTACCCTGTGACTTCTCAAACGGCTTCCTGGTTCCGGTTCCCCATCTTGTACTTCCCTGTCCTTGTCCCTGTCACCCTCTCCTATCCCTGGCCGCCCTCTCCTGACTCGGCTCCACGGCTCACCCGTTTCTCCTCCTGGTCCCGCCAGCGGGACAGCTCCTGAGGGGCCAGCTGGATGGAGTTCATCCGCACCAGTTTGTGGGGGGTGACGTCCCCGTGAGCCACTTTGAGAAACAGGTCCTGCAAGGCAGGGGGCAGAGGCTGCACCAACCATCCTGAGAGCATCCTGCCATCGGCACTCCGGCGGAGGCCCAGGTCAAAGCCCGCTCACCTGGTTCCTGGGGTCCCGCAGGTTGAACAGCAGGCTGCGGTACTTGGTCTTGTAGCGGCAACTGGTGTCTTGTGTCAGGTCAAAGAGGGCTGCCTCGATGTCCCCAGCGATGCCCTCCACCACCTCCTCACTCAGCACCAGGTCGGGACACTCCTGTAGGCTGTGGGGACAAGAGAAGGGCCCTGGGCACTGAGTCCATGGGGTTAGCCACACACTGAGCCCCAGGGGAGACCTGTGGCGGGAAACCCAAGTGGGCCAACTCACTTCCGTCACGGGCATCTCCCTACCTGGGCCTGGCTATTCTTACCCAACTTCATAACAAATAAAAACGAACGTTCTCCTTCCACAGGATGCTGAGGCTCAGAGGAGATCAGGGCTGATCAATGGCAAAGCCAGAGTCAAATCCAGATTCCTCAGCCTGGGCCGTCCCTGGCCAATGGAGCTGGGGAGGTGGGGAAGGGAGGGACCTGGCTGGTGGGGGTGAAGCATCTGCCAAGGGGAGAGGATAGTAGTAACCCTGAATCTTCCATTGACTTGCTGTGTGGCCTCTACAAAGTCCTGCCCTCTCTGGGCTTTGGCCTCACCTTCAGTAAATGAGAGCTCTGGGCACCGATCTCAGCTGCTCAGCACAGCCTCTCATTGTGTCCGAAAGCATTTGCTGTGGGTGATGCCAACAAGGCCCAGAGCAGACACTGAGGGCTGCAGTAGCTGAAGGGCACAGTATGACCTTGAAGGCAGAGATGCCCAGGTTCACATTTCGGCTCTCCGCAGGCCGGCTGGCCACGTGAGCCAGTGACCTCCCCCAGTGGGGTTAGTCACACACACGAGCCCTCACGCGGGTTCGCGGCAGCCTGCCAGCACACTGGGGAAGCAGAGGCCAGGCCTTACCGACTCCACAGTGCCTCCTGCATGGCGCGCACTACAGTGGCCCGAACCACCAGATCCTGGGGGGTCATCTCCTGTCGAAGCTGAAGTCCAGCTGTGGGGGACAGAGAGCCTCCTGGGAGCCCCCAAGGGCATGAGGCGGGGCAGGGCCCAGGAGCCCAGATGGACAACATCCTCCCTCAGGGACCCAGGCCCCCCTGTCCACAGCCAGGCTCTGGTGGCCAGCAGCCCCGGCCCTAGGGGACGGACTCTAGGCTGATGGGAGGCAGGAGTCCCAGCAGGGGCTGGGGCCCTTCACCTGAGTCCTCTGCCCTTTCCTGGAGAGGTTCCCCATCTGCAGCCTCCATCAGGCCAACCTGTAGGGAGAGGTGAGGAGGGGACACTGCTTTCCCCAGGGCCTGCGGCCCCCCACGCTCTGCCACCCATTCTCCACGGTGGCCGGGTGGCAGGGTGGCAGGGGCAGGCGCACTCACCCCCGAACAGTCGGCCCTGGGGAAGGGATCCTTGAGGGGCCCAGAACAGCCGCTTGGAGGGAGGAAGAGATCAAAGAGGCTTCCAGAGTCACGTGCTGTCCCTCCTAAAGGAGGGGACTGGACAACCTGGGGGCAGCAGAACATGCTGGTCAGCCAGAGACAAAGGCCTGACGGGACGCCCTCTCAAACACGCTAGTCCCCCTCCTCCAACTGACCTCCCGGATTCTGGAGGAAGAACACTCAGAGCCCAGGCAGCCAGGCAGGTGGGGCCCCTGGCTGCTGTCCTGAGAAGTCACACCATCCCTCTGTGCCTCAGTGACACCTGCAAGTCAGGTGACGGAGCCACACCAACCACGTGCGGAGCCTGTTCTGTACCTGGTGACCAGCAGAACCCCGGGTTTGGGCCCTTTTCCTCCTTCTGGGTCTCTGGGCCGGCAAGGCCGAGCCGGCCTCCATGAAGTCCTGGAGAGCCTCCAGCTTCAGCAGCTGCTGTCCCCCAGCCTGGACGTGGCTGATGGCCCCCAAGAGCTGGATCACCGCCCCAGAACCGAGCTGCGGGGAGAGGAGAACTTGAGAACCAGCTGGACGGAGGGCCCGCCTCCCCTGCAACGGCCGGCCGTCTGTCCCCCAGGAGGACAGGGGACGTGCCTATGTCGGTCCTCACTGTTTACCCAATGTCTGCAAAAGGCCTGGCATTTAGCAGGATTTAGTAAACGTTTGCCGACTGGCTGGCCCCTGTCCCAGGAGAGGAGCCTGGGCTCACTCCCACCCTCCTGAGCAAGGAGCCTTCTCACCTCCTTCTGACCAGAGGTGACCTCCTCAGGGGACACACGTTCTGTTCTCACACCACCTCCTCCTGTCAAAGCTTTGGACATGTCCCTTTCAGAGGCCACTAACTTGTTTTTTGCTTCTCCTTGAAATAGCCACTTGCAACCATCTCCCCTTCTTAAGAACTGCCCACCACCCAGCTGTTGTTCCTGAGAGACTTCCCTTCATTTCAAGATGCAACACAGTTTTTGGTCTTCTAATGAACGATGGAATCCCTCCTGCTCCTCTTTTTGCTATGGCTGCCAGGAAGCAGCTCAGTGATAACTTTGAGCCTAGAAGTTTGTGCCTTTCCAGAATTGGTGGAGGGTGGCGAATTCTAATATTTTATTTCTCTTTTCCTTTGCTTTCTTTAGGCTTTTATCCCACTTTAAGTGTGTTTTGATTTTTTTAAATTTATGGCAAACCACAGGAATTTTCTGGAAAGCAGGTTGTGCCTGAAAAAAAAATTAATCCTTGACTGGATTATCGTGGAATGGTCAGGTTGCAAGGGAGAAACTGGAAGTCTAAGCTTCAGCATCATAGCCGGAGGAGGGTCACCCCTGGGGGAGGACCCACCCAGCCCGCCACACTGAAACAGGGAAGAAAAAGGTCAATCAGAAAAGAGTAAAAAAAAAACCTACGTAAGATACAAGCTTCACCCCATGGGGCATCTTCACGTCCTCCTTGGAGAGAGAGAGGATGCAGAGATTAGAATCCAAAGAACCCAGTGGCGACCCCTTGGCAGGGAATTCACTGTAAGATGTTCTTTCCGAAAGGGTATGCGGCGTTCACCAGGTTGACATTTATAACAAAATAAAGTCGGGCACAATCCAATTAAAGAGGGAAGAGTGAATACATGGTAACATATTACACCCTAAATTCTGTGTGGCCAAAGAGATGAGGAAGTCCCAGTAAAAATGACCTTTTACCAGGGTTTACGAAGTAGCGGGCCCTGGAGGAAGCTCATCCCACACAGTCTTATTAAGGTCTCTGAACAGTACGAGGCGGGGTGTACTACCTTTATCCCACCATTTCACAGATGTGGAGACTGAGGCTCAGAGGGGCCCTGAAAAGTCCCATAGCTACTAAGCTGGCGAGCTGTGTTGGAGTTTAATTCTGATCCGAAAGCCCCCACACTTAACTGCTGGGCTCTGTGGAGATGCAGAAAGATTCATGGAAAGATATCATGGTGTTATTGGGAGAACAAGAAAAAAAAAAAACAGGTTACAGAACAATATTGGTTGCATAAGCCCCTTTATGTAAATATATATTTATAGATGCATAACAGCATGTATCTCTGGGGAAGGAAATTCCAGAGGGACTTTCACTTTCTATGTGTCTACACTTGGATATTTATGTTATTCAAAATGAGCATGTATTTCTTTTATAATCAGAAACATATTTTTTATTAAAAAGCAAGTGCAAAACAATATGCGTAGTGTGCTATCATTTGTGTCTCCGAGAGAATGAATTTTTAAGTTTGTATGCGCTTGAATGGGCATAAATTATCTCCAGAAGTACCAAAAGGGCCCAGAACCTGGGCTGCCGGCAGGGCAGGGGCTGGGTGCTCGGAGGGAGGCGGGTCACTTTTTGGGTGGTGTTTTTAAAACATGGGAATGAATCAGCTTTTTAAAAGAGTCATTGAGAAAGAGGAAGGAAAAAATAGAAAACAGGGTACACCTGGGAAAAGGAGCCGGGAAGCTATTAAGACCAGCTCTTCACAGCTCCGAGCCTTTGGCCGGCCCTGGTCTCGAGGGTCCTTCAGCCAGCACTGAGGCTGAGAGCGGCAGGCAGCAGGGTGGGAGGCGTGAAGGTCCCGAGGCCGGACGTATGGGACCAGAATACAAAATACTATGTATAATCTGTGTAAAGAAATGAAAGAAGAGCCTCGCATATGAGTGAAGGGAGAAGGCCGAGTGGGTGTAGAGATATTTAAAAGGCAAATCTGGTTGAGAACCAAATGCAATTTCTGGGAATAAGGAATATAGGCAAAATTAAAATTAAAAACTCCACGTATAGGTTTCATAGCATATTAGACACAGCCGAAACAAACTGGCACATTTGAAGGTAAATTTTGTTCTTTGGGGTACTGAAGATTGCACCCAGGGGTGCTTTACCACTGATCTCTATCCATCCCCCAATTTTTTATTTTGAGGATATATAATTTGCCCAGGCTGGCCTTAAACTTGTGATCCTCTTGCCTCAGCCTCCCAAGTGGCTGGGATTACAGGCATGTGTCCCTGTGCCCAGCTTAAAGATAAATTTAAAGAAGTGATGCAGGCCTGGCTTAGTGGCACACACCTGTAATCACAGGGGCTTGGGAGGCTGAGGCAGGAGGATTGAAAGTTTGAGGCCAGCCTCAGCAACTTAGTGAGGCCTAAGTAACTCAGCAAGACCCTGTCTCTAAATAATATACAAAAAAAGTGCTGGAGATGTGGTTCTGTGGTTAACTGCCCCTGGGTTCAATCTTCAGTACAAAAAAAAAAAAGAAGTGATACAGAATATTCATGGCACAGAGACTGTGAAACACAGCTAAGGAGCTACAAAGGACAGAGTGAAGAAGAGTAATTCATCTAACTTCAGTTACAGAAGGGGAGAAGAGGGGACATGGTGCAGAGGTGGTATTTGACGATGCGTGGCTAAGAATTTTCCAGAACTGATCAAAGACAGCAATTCACAGATTCAAAAAGCTTGGTGAGGTTGGATGCGGTGGCGCATGCCTATAATCCTGGCGGCCTGGGAGGCTGAGGCAGGAGGATCCAGAGTTCAAAGCCAGCCTCAGCAACAGTGAGGCGCTAAGCAACATCAGGGAAACCCTATCTCCAAATAAAAAAATAAAAAAGAGCTGGGATGTGGCTCTGTAGTCGAGTGCCCCTGAGTTCAAGCCCCAGTGCCAAAAAAATAATTTAAAAAAAAAGGAGTTTGGTGAATTTCAAACAGGAAAAATAAAATCCATACCTAGACACATCAACACCAGTGATAATGTGATCTTAAAAGCACCATGAGAAAAAAAATTATAGCTAGTATTGAAAGGGCACATCAAATATGCTACTCCTGCTTTGGAAAGCACTATACATTCTCACTATGACCCTATGAGGTACTAGTATGATTATTGCCCTCATTTGACAGAAGAGAAAATTAAGGCTTGAAATGATTAGCTTGTCCAAGGTCACACAGCTAGCAAACCAAAGAACCAGGATTTAAATCCAGGCAGTCCAATTCCACAGGCCACTCTGCTATTAATGCCACTCACTAAAAGACACTGTAGGTAGAAAAAGATTGGGAATTAACTAACAGCTAATTCCTCAATAGTCATAATGAAAGGCAAACCCTAGTAGAATATTCTTTCTTTTTTTCTTGGTACTGGGGATTGAACCCAGGGGCACTTTACCACTGAGCAGCATTCCCAACCCTTTTTTGTTTTTTTCTTTTGAGACAGGGTCTCACTAAATTGCTTAGGGCCTCACTACGTTGCTGATACTGGCCTTGAACTTGTGATCCTCTTGTCTCGCCTCTCTAGTCACTGAGATTACAGGCATGCACCACTGTGCCCGGCTAGAATATTATTTTCAATGTGCTTAAAGGAAATAAGTGTTACCAGCTAAGGTAGAGCACCCTGCAATCCTGGTGACTCGGGAGGCTAAGGAAGGAGGATAGCAAGTTCCAATCCAGCCACAGCAAACTTAGGGAGACCTTGTCTCAAAATAAGAAAAGAATAGGACTGGGGATGTAGCTCAGTGGTAGAGGAGCCCTGAGTTCAATCCCCAGAACCAAACCAAACCAGAAAACTGTCAATTGTAGAATCAGATGAGAATGAGGATGAGATAAAGACATTGTAGAGAAAACAAAGACAGTTGGTTTTCTTGATCATTTTATTTTACTCAATAAACAAAATGATAAAGCATGGAGGGAGAAGGAAAGAAAAATCATCCCACTCAGAAAAGCTGGGATGCAATGAAGAATTCTGAGCAAAGAAAATGATAAATATGTTGTTAAATCTAAACAAACATTGCATGAAACTATAATAACAGTGTGTGATTTGTTGAATTTAAAAAAAAATAGGATAAGACCAATTTACTGGATAACAATAACACACAAATTGGGAAGGTGCGTGCTCAGAATGAAAGCATTCCAAGATCCTTCCCTACTTCAGAGGAGGAGGAAGACTGTAACTACGTTTACGCTTTGCTAAGTCAGGCATTCAGGCTGAGAGAACTTCTGAGAGAACATCAACAGGACGTAGAAAAATTCTAAATTAGAGATAAAAAAAGGAGCAAGGGAAATAATCCATCTAAAAGGGAGCACGTATAGGAATGAGAAATTCTAAACAGAACGGTAGAAATAAATGTAGAAGAATGAGATGAGACCCTTATGGCCCTGTACAGAGTCAACCTGGAATAGATCAAAGACCTGGAAATCCGATCAGAAACTATGCAACTCCTAGAAGAAAACACAGGGTCAGTACTCCCGCCTGTAGGTACAGGCAATGACCTTCTCAATAGGACTCCTAAAGCGCAGGAAATAATGTAAGAATTAATAAAAGGAATGGCATCAAATTGAAAGGCTTCTGGGGGTCAGGCATGGTGTGCATAACTGTAATCCCAGTGGCTTGGGAGGCTGAGGCAGGAGGATTGCAAGTTCAAAGCCAGCCTCAGCAATGCAGTAAGGCCCTAGGCAACTTAGCAAGATCCTGTCTCTAAATAAAATATAAAGGGATGGGGATGTGGCCCAGTGATCAAGAACACCTGGGTTCAATTCCTGGTTCAAAAAAAAAAAAATGGCTTCTGAGGGTTGGGGATTTAGCTCAGTGGCAGGGCACTTGCCCAGGACATGCAAGGCCCTGAGTTTGGTCCTTAACCCTGGGGAAAAAAAATAAAAAGCTTCTGCACAGCAAAGGAAGCAATTAAGAATGTGACGAAAGGGCTGGGTATGTGGCTCAGTGATAGAGCGCTCGCCTAGCATGCAGAGGCACTGGGCTCGATCCTCAGCACCACATAAATATAAAATAAAGATATTGTGTCCATAATAAATAAATATTAAAAAAATAATGTGATAAAAGAACCTACAGAATGGGAGAAAATCCTTGCTAGTTACTCTTCTGACAGAGGATTAGTACCTAGAATACATAAGGATCTCAAAAAACTTTACACCAAAAAGACAAATAACCCAGTTAATAAATGGGCAAATGGACTAATCAGGCACTTATCAAAAGAAGAAATACAAATGGCCAACGAATACTTGGAGACAAATGTTCAGCATCTTTAGCAATTAGGGAAATTCAAATCAAAACTACAATGAGATTTCATCACACACCAGTCAGAATGGCAGTCATCTCGGATACAAAACAGTAAATGCTGGAGAGGAGGTGGAGACAAAGGGACTCTGTGACACTGTTGGTGGGATTGTAAATTGGTACAACCACTATGGAAATCAGTATGGATGACCCTCAAAAGATGAGGCATGGAACCACCATAGGACCCAGCTATCCCATGCCTTGGGATTTATCCTAAAGAATTAAGGTCATCACACTAGAGTGATACACACATCCCCATGTTTTAGCAGCACAATTCACAACAGCCAAACTGTGGAATCAGCCCACGTGTCCATCAATAAATGACTGAAGAAAATGTTGTATACATAACACAATGGAGTTTTACTCAGCCATCAAGAAGAATGAAATTGGGCTGGGGATGTGGCTCAAGCGGTAGCGCGCTCGCCTGGCATGCGTGCGGCCCGGGTTCGATCCTCAGCACCACATACCAACAAAGACATTGT